CAAATAACTAATTCTGTAAAATAAGTTTCGTTTTCTTCGTTTTTTTTTATATAAAATTTTATGCAGTGTACCCAAATAAGCCATTCTGACCCCCATGGAACGTATATTAAAAGCGTAATTATTTTGAAAATTGTTGTGATTAAATTATTATTATTATTATCAGTTTATTATTCAATTTTCACTCATGAAACATCAAACTAAATGACATGAGCAGTCATGAAGTCTGAGCGGAATTGTTGATGAAGCAAACGCATGTATGAGTGCAAATCAAATAAAATTTCGAACCGAATGAACGAGCGAAGTCAAATACAAATCAAACACAATCAGTCGGAGTCTAAATAAAAGAAATCAAAGAACTGGCCTGATGGGATCGATGATCCCCAATACGTTACTACATTTCCTACTGTAGTAAACGTTACAATCCAGGAAAAACAACTTTATCAACTATAGATTATTAACATCTGTTGATATCATCTGGACTCTTTTACTCACCTGTAAGATATAAGAATCTCTGTTTTATGGAATAAAGATAACAAGAAGTAATTCATGATTCATTAATCATAATAGATGTAAATCGATACATACATAAAAACCATATATTTTCTCATATGTTTAGTACATAAAATTTAATGATTATTTCATTTATTGTGCAAAACAAATAGAATAAAAATTAATTCAAACTCTAATTTAACGCTACTGATACGAAATCATTTAAGTAAGATCCCAGTCATGAAACTTCTTGCCCCAGAATTTCAAGAGATCCCTTTTGTAACATACTTCTTGAAAAAGTCTACAATCTACGCATGGAGGAATGACCGTTCATTCTTCCATTGTGTGTACGTTATGAATCACTAACTACTAGCGGCTACGTGATTGCAATCAACTCGTTGCTACTAACCAATTAAATTCTTGCAACGGTCGCGGTGTAAATCAATGCAGCGATGTTCATTGCAAGCCAATTAAAACGTCGCAATAGCTTTCTCATCGAGGAACCATACTCGAGGTTCATCCATGAATATCGGAAATCGCAGGCGACGTATTCTCGCTATTAATTTCATCCTTATTATTCCGGACCACTCATCCCCATCCTCGTTCCCTCTCAACTGTATAATTTTACAGTAGCTCCGAGGCCGCCTGTTTTTTTTCTCTCCATCCCTTTGCACTTTCTTCGTCACTTCACCATCCCTGTTTATCCCTGCGGTTAGCATCATTGTTGTTTTCCCCTAGAAATGGTGAAAAATCGACGGAACCACTAATTGGTTCTGTCAATCTTGCAGAGAGAGGATTCGCGCGTTGATGGGCCGCGTCCACCGAAGAGAAGAGAGTACGGGAAGGAAGGTTGAAACGGCGCGGCGCAGGTCACGTCGACCGGAAAGATTCGTTGCGGGAATACGGCACGTTTCGAGAGAGCAACTTTCATTACAGTTGCGTGCATTTTCTGCTCGCTTCGTTCACTCCTTTTTTCCCTTTTTCCCCACTGTTTCCTCTTTTTTTTTTTCTCCTCGTTCTGTTATCGATTTTTCTACCTTTTTTTCAATAAGCGCGCCACGCAGCAGTTGTTCCGACGACGTTCGAACGCGCTTCGACGCCGTACCGCACTCGTCGTCGTCGGCCGCGAGTAAAGGACCAACGAGCAGACCGCGATTTTTCCACTGTGGAAATGTGCAATCGGAGACGAATCGACCGACGCAAAAACCGCAACTCGTTTTCGTTTACCGATCCTTTTACAGGATACTCAACTTCGTCAATTTACAAGCATTCGTGATTTTATTTGTTCGCTAGGTGTTCGAATTTCATGTACGCTTCGATCTATTTCATTTTTGCCTTTCTCTTTTAGAGAAGCTACACACTTCTGTCTTTCTACACGCAGTAAAAT